ATAAGCCTTGAATGCTCCTTGGTCTTTCAAGTACATTCTGTAGTGCTTTGCTAAAAGAAAAAAATAATGAAAATAAATGTAAAATATCGGGTGCTCTCTAGTTAAAGGCATCCAACACCACTGTCCGATAAGCCAAAATATGTAAAAAGTGTTCTGAGAGGAAAAAACCAGCAATCAGCAATGGCCAGGCTGCTCACTCGGTAATCACCGCATTGGTCCCAGCGGAACGTGCTCATTCTCTGTGGTCACTGCCTTCCTTCAGAGCCAGCCTGTGGCGACGCTGTAACCACCTCTGGAGGCTGGCACACCTGAGACAGGTTTCCGATGTCAGCGCCAGATTGACCCCCAAACACCAAGAAAGTGATATATCTGCTTCTGCTTTACACTGAATCAAGGCACTTGAAGCTCATGGAAAGTTTTGAAGCACTTTTGAAAGTAATCTCTATTTATTACTTATTCATTTTTAAAATATATTTTTATTGATTTCGGAGAGGAAGGGAAAGAGAGAGAGAAATATCAATGATGAGAGAGAATCATCGATCGGCTGCCTTCCACCTACATGCCCCACAGCTGGGATGGAGCCCACAACCCGGGCATGTGCCCTTGACCAGAAATGGAACATGTAACGTCCTGGTTCATAGATCGATGCTCAACCACTGAGCAACACCAGCCGGGCTAAACTCTTTTTAAATCATTCTTTAAAGAACTGGCAAAATTGAGTGAAGACAAATTTATTCCTAGTACCAAAACCTTTTATTTCAATCTACAATTTGTTCTCTAATAAGTTTTAAGCAGATCCGAAGCAGCCCAAATGAGCAGTCCATCCTCATCAGTATTACTGCTGACTGTTCACTGGCCGTGGGGTAACATCGCTTATAAACCCGGGTGTCCCTGGGGCTCTCGGCGCGTGGGATCTGCATGTGCACAGAGGGACTAGCTAACCCACGGAACTCGCCTCTCTCAGCTGCAGGTGCTGCTGCGCTGAAGCCAGAGGAAGCGGCGACTTCCTTCCTCTTGGCAAATGTTTGGAATCAGAGGGCAAGACTGTTCGACTGCCCAGTTGTCTGCCTCCTGTTCACCATAGTCCCGCCCTCCAGAATGTTCCACACACTTTCTAAATCACTCCAGGGAAACTTCCAGAGTTTCCTAATGGGAGCAGCTGGGAGCCACCTACACGATCCATCTGGCCCAGAGATGGCCCTTTTATAGGAGAGACGAAGACACAAACCTTGACCACTTTTTACTCCGACCTCCCGCCCCTGTTCAACGAGAACGCCTTCGAAGCTGCAACGCTGGGTCTATGTCAGGAGTATGTTTATTTAACTCTGCGTATCCTTTTATGTGTCTCCAGTACAGGCCACACACACACTAACGCCACGCTCTCTGGGTCATTCATGATGGAGGAAATCTTTAACACCCAGGACGTCCCACCGCTTTTCTTGTCTCGACTGGCGGTCGGTAAACTGTCAGACACCACTGAAGAATTGTTAAGAATTGTGGAAGAAAACAATAAAGTTAGCCTCCGTGTCCCTCATCCCCTCTTCTGGGTGAAGGGATTGTGGGGACCCGTGAGGCCCACACGAAGTTTATTAGCGTAGCGCTCGCTGCATCAGAAGCCAATCAAACAGTAGCCACTGGCACCACAAGCTGCTGAGTATTGAACATTTCAGATTTTAGAACGAAGTCTCTTTGGGCCGTAACAATTATTCAGGTAATTAGGCTGAAGTAGGAATTGCTGGGTAAATTTTGTTCTGCTGAAGTAACAATTTTATAGAATGAAGAATGAAGAGCATAGAGATGAAGTGGTTTTACTGTTAACAAGATTAACTGAGGAAAAGGTAAAAAATTATATGCATTTAATAATTTGATTTTTTTATTTGATTTTGAGATGGTTGCCTGAGAGGTTCTAACAATATTTTTAATGTGGA